GATATCGGAATGCTGTTCTGAGGTTTGCTAGTCACCCGTATGCTGCAGCAGTTATTTGGTTGATGTGCACTTCAGGAGATCTGCCTGGTGTTATACTCACCCCAAGATCTTTTTCCTTGAGTGAGGTTTGTAGTCTCTGGCCCCCTAGACTGTACTCCGTCTGCGGTCTTCTTTACCCTTCCCCGATCTTCATGACTGTGCACTTGGTGGGGTTGAACTCCAGGAGCCAATTGCTGGACCAGGTCTGCAGCCTGTCCAGATCCCTTTGTAGTTCTGCCTGGTCTTCGAACAAATGAATTCTTCTCATCAATTTCACGTCATCTGCAAACAGGAACACTTCGGAGTCTATTCCTTCCACCATGTCGCTCACATATACCAGAAACAGCACTGGTCCTAGGATTGACCCCTGTGGGACCCCGCTGGTCACAGGTGCCTACTCTGACACCTCGCCACGTACCATGACTAGCTGCTGTCTTCCTGACAAGTATTCCCTGATCCATTGTAGTGCCTTCCCTGTTATCCCTGCTTGGTCCTCCAGTTTTTGCACTAATCTCTTGTGTGGAACTGTGTTAAACGCCTTCTTGCAGTCCAAGAAAATGCAATCCACCCACCCCTCTCTTGTCTTACTGCTGTCACCATGTCATAGAATTTCAGTAGGTTTGTCCCACAGGATTTCCCGTCCCTGAAACCATGTTGGCTGCTGTTGATGAGATCATTCCTTTCTAGGTGTTCCACCACTCTTCTCCTGCTAATCTTCTCCATGACTTTGCATACTATACATGTCAGTGACACTGGTCTGTAGTTTAGTGTTTCATGTCTCTCTCCTTTTTTAAAGATTGGGACTACATTTGCTGTCTTCCATGCCTCAGGCAATCTCCCTGTTTCGATAGATGTATTGAATATTGTTGTTAGGGGTATACATAGCGCCTCTGCTCCCTCTCTCAGGACCCATGGAGAGATGTTATTTGGCCCCATTGCCTTTGAGGTATCTAGCTCACTCAGAAGCCTCTTCACTTCTTCCTTGGTTGTGTGTACTGTGTCCAGCACTTGGTGGTGTGCCCCACCTCTCCGTCTTTCTGGAGCCCCTTCTGTCTCCTCTGTGAACACTTCTTTAAATCTCTTGTTGAGTGTGTGTGTGTGTGTGTGTGTGTGTGTGTGTGTGTGTGTGTGTGTGTGTGTGTGTGTGTGTGTGTGTGTGTGTGTGTGTGTGTGTGTGTGTGTGTGTGTGTTTGAGGGTATTCTTTTAAAAAGTTTACCAAACGAATAAAATAAATGAAAGACTTGAGACAAATGACACAAAATTATGAAAGAGAAGGAAGAGGAGAAGCTCAGTGTTAATTATCATTCGTTGTATCGTGTAATGTGTTGAGCTGCGTACTAGTGCTGACACACAACCAGTGCTGACACACAACCAGTGCTGACACACAACCAGTGCTGACACACAACCAGTGCTGACACACAACCAGTGCTGACACACAACCAGTGCTGACACACAACCAGTGCTGACACACAACCACTCTCTCATATACTAGTTACCGAGACACACTCATGATAAACACTGGTCTTAGAGGAAATGAAAAAGACAAAAGTACTAGTTTAAAAGTTTAATTAACTAAGTCACTGAAACATATGTGTTAGAGGAACCACTAACACTGGTGTTAGAGGAACCACTAACACCAGTGTTAGAGGAACCACTAACACTGGTGTTAGAGAAGAACCACTAACACCAGTCGGTGTTAGAGGAACCACTAACACTGGTGTTAGAGGAACCACTAACACTGGTGTTAGAGGAACCACTAACACTGGTGTTAGAGGAACCACTAACACTGGTGTTAGAGGGGAACCACTAACACTGGTGTTAGAGGAACCACTAACACTGGTGTTAGAGGAACCACTAACACCAGTGTTAGAGGAACCACTAACACCGGTGTTAGAGGAACCACTAACACTGGTGTTAGAGGAACCACTAACACCAGTGTTAGAGGAACCACTAACACCAGTGTTAGAAGAACCACTAACACCAGTCTTAGAGGAACCACTAACACCGGTGTTAGAGGAACCACTAACACCAGTGTTAGAAGGAACACTAACACCAGTGTTAGAGGAACCACTAACACCAGTGTTAGAGGAACCACTAACACCAGTGTTAGAGGAACCACTAAACCAGTGTTAGAGGAACCACTAACACGTGTAGAGGAACCACTAACATGTGTTAGAGGAACCACTAACACCAGTGTTAGAGGAACCACTAATACCAGTGTTAGAGGAACCACTAACACCGGTGTTAGAGGAACCACTAACACCAGTGTTAGAGGAACCACTAACACCAGTGTTAGAGGAACCACTAACACCAGTGTTAGAGGAACCACTAACACCAGTGTTAGAGGAACCACTAACACCAGTGTTAGAGGAACCACTAACACCAGTGTTAGAGGAACCACTAACACCAGTGTTAGAGGAACCACTAACACCAGTGTTAGAGGAACCACTAACACCAGTGTTAGAGGAACCACTAACACCAGTGTTAGAGGAACCACTAACAACACAGTGTTAGAGGAACCACTAACACTAGTGTTAGAGGAACCACTAACACCAGTGTTAGAGGAACCACTAACACCAGTGTTAGAGAAACCACTAACACCAGTGTTAGAGGAACCACTAACACCAGTGTTAGAGGAACCACTAACACCAGTGTTAGAGGAACCACTAACACCAGTGTTAGAGGAAACCACTAACACCAGTGTTAGAGGAACCACTAACACTGGTGTTAGAGGAACCACTAACACCAGTGTTAGAGGAACCACTAACACTGGTGTTAGAGGAACCACTAACACCAGTGTTAGAGGAACCACTAACACCAGTGTTAGAGGAACCACTAACACCAGTGTTAGAGGAACCACTAATACCAGTGTTAGAGGAACCACTAACACCAGTGTTAGAGGAACCACTAACACTGGTGTTAGAGGAACCACTAACACCAGTGTTAGAGGAACCACTAACACCAGTGTTAGAGGAACCACTAACACCGGTGTTAGAGGAACCACTAACACCAGTGTTAGAGGAACCACTAACACCAGTGTTAGAGGAACCACTAACACCAGTGTTAGAGGAACCACTAATACCAGTGTTAGAGGAACCACTAACACTGGTGTTAGAGGAACCACTAACACCAGTGTTAGAGGAACCACTAATACCAGTGTTAGAGGAACCACTAACACTGGTGTTAGAGGAACCACTAGCACCAGTGTTAGAGGAACCACTAACACCAGTGTTAGAGGAACCACTAATACCAGTGTTAGAGGAACCACTAACACCAGTGTTAGAGGAACCACTAACACCAGTGTTAGAGGAACCACTAAACCAGTGTTAGAGGAACCACTAACACCGGTGTTAGAGGAACCACTAACACCAGTGTTAGAGGAACCACTAACACCAGTGTTAGAGGAACCACTAACACCAGTGTTAGAGGAACCACTAACACCAGTGTTAGAGGAACCACTAACACCAGTGTTAGAGGAACCACTAACACCAGTGTTAGAGGAACCACTAACACCAGTGTTAGAGGAACCACTAACACCAGTGTTAGAGGAACCACTAACACCAGTGTTAGAGGAACCACTAACACCAGTGTTAGAGGAACCACTAACACAGTGTTAGAGGAACCACTAACACCAGTGTTAGAGGAACCACTAACACCAGTGTTAGAGGAACCACTAACACCAGTGTTAGAGAAACCACTAACACCAGTGTTAGAGGAACCACTAAACCAGTGTTAGAGGAACCACTAACAGTGTTAGAGGAACCACTAACACCAGTGTTAGAGGAACCACTAACACCAGTGTTAGAGGAACCACTAACACCGGTGTTAGAGGAACCACTAACACCAGTGTTAGAGGAACCACTAACACCGTGTTAGAGGAACCACTAACACCAGTGTTAGAGGAACCACTAACACCAGTGTTAGAGGAACCACTAACACCAGTGTTAGAGGAACCACTAATACCAGTGTTAGAGGAACCACTAACACCAGTGTTAGAGGAACCACTAACACCAGTGTTAGAGGAACCACTAACACCAGTGTTAGAGGAACCACTAACACCAGTGTTAGAGGAACCACTAACACCAGTGTTAGAGGAACCACTAACACCAGTGTTAGAGGAACCACTAACACCAGTGTTAGAGGAACCACTAACACCAGTGTTAGAGGAACACTAAACCAGTGTTAGAGGAACCACTACAGTGTTAGAGGAACCACTAACACCAGTGTTAGAGGAACCACTAGATCCAGTGTTAGAGGAACCACTAACACGGTGTTAGAGGAACCACTACCAGTGTTAGAGGAACCACTAACACCAGTGTTAGAGGAACCACTAATACCAGTGTTAGAGGAACCACTAACACCAGTGTTAGAGGAACACTAACACGTGTTAGAGGAACCACTAATACCGTGTTAGAGGAACCACTAACACTGTGTTAGAGGAACCACTACACCAGTGTTAGAGGAACCACTAACACCAGTGTTAGAGGAACCACTAAACCAGTGTTAGAGGAACCACTAACACACAGTGTTAGAGAACCACTAACACAGTGTTAGAGGAACACTAACACCAGTGTTAGAGGAACCACTAACACTGGTGTTAGAGGAACCACTAACACCGTGTTAGAGGAACCACTAACACCAGTGTTAGAGGAACCACTAACACAGTGTTAGAGGAACCACTAACACCAGTGTTAGAGGAACCACTAACACCAGTGTTAGAGGAACCACTAACACTAGTGTTAGAGAACCACTAACACCAGTGTTAGAGGAATCACTAACACCAGTGTTAGAGGAACCACTAACACCAGTGTTAGAGGAACCACTAACACCAGTGTTAGAGGAACCACTAACACCAGTGTTAGAGGAACCACTAACACCAGTGTTAGAGGAACCACTAACTCCAGTGTTCGAGGAATCCCTCAAGCATCAGATATCACACAAATGGTAAGGCTACAGGAATTTGCTTAAATATTAGTCTAATAAAAGTCACTTAAATATTAGTGCAACTGAAATTACTTGAATGTCAGAGTTACATAAGTTACTTAAACATCAGTCTTCAGAAGCCAAATATTACTGCCGCAGAAGTTACTTAAGTTTTAGTGTTGCAGAAGTTGCTGACGTAAATAAGAGAGATGTTGTGGAGCACACTTTAGTCATGGAGGTGGAGGGATGACTGGAGAGATGGTCAATGGTCGAGCAGTTTAGCACGTGACCATAGCATAATGACCAACCTTGTCGACACAGTCGATGAGTAGAACTGTGACCCTATTCTCTAACTTAAACAACTTATATGGAGATACAAACTTAAGGAACATGTGTGGGGATAATAACTTTAAACAACGTGCATTGGGATACCAACATAAACGCGTGCATTGAGATGCCAGGTTAAACAACATGTGTTAAGATACCAACTTCAACAACATCCATGAGGATACTAACTTACTGTATACAATGTTCTTAGGGATAACAGCCTAAATATGTGTTGGAATACCAATATAAACAGCTTCACATAAATATTATAATAATCCCGAGAGTGGCTTATTTGTAAGTAGTTACTTAATGGTACAGTATCTGCCGGATGTGTAGGACGACAGTGAACATCCCGATAGAGATGTATGGTTGTGTAGGACGACTGAGCATCCCATGAGAAACTTATGGTTGTACAGGACGACAGTCAGAAGGACGACAGAGACGTATGGTTGTTGAGCGACCATCATGTCGTGGTGGTCTTTACATCAGAGGTGACATCATCTGAGGTAGTAAACGCAGGCAAGGATCTGCACCACAGCTGCAAGGAGGACGAGGATGGCAGAGCGTCGCATCCTGCGGGAGAGCTTGTAGGAGTAGAGACCAGGCAGGATGACCTAGTGGTAGATGACGATAAGTAGTAGCAGGGTGGTCAGCAGGCCACCCCCACACGCTACCCACTCACTCAGGCTGCATCCACTAACCAGGAAGAAGACAATATTTAGTTTCCATTCCAGAAAGGACATTCATAGGGTAATCTATCCTCTTCTAAGAGGTAGCGGCCCAGTCTGATAAGCATCAATAGCCTGACTGGTCAGTCCGGGCAGACAAGATAAAGCCGACCTTTCTACTTCTGTTATTTTAGGCTAGGTCAACGCATATTAACCAGTTCTAACAGAATGAACCCAAAAAAAATAAATAAAAAGAAACAGTGTGCTGGGCACTACGGTGTTTGCATGTAACATCGACCTGATAAACACAGAAGACTCAGTTCACTGCGCAGGTGTTGCACAACTTAACATTAAGATCGACAACACTCTAATTGCCAGATATAATGAGGGCAAATTCCTTGGCCTATACCTCGACAATAACCTAAATTTCAGCACCCATATCCAACACATAACAAAAAAAGTATCCAAAACGGTGGGGATCCTCTCCAAGATACGATACTACGTGCCGCAAACTGCCCTTCTCACACTATACCATTCACTTATATATCCATACCTCACCTATGCTATCTGTGCTTGGGGTTCAACTGCAGCAACACACCTAAAGCCAATAATAACCCAACAAAAAGCCGCAGTAAGAATAATCACTAAATCCCATCCCTGGCAACACCCCCCCCCACTCTTCATAGATCTAAACTTACTCCCTGTTCAGTACATCCACACTTACTACTGTGTACAGGACCTTAAATTCCAATATTAACCTTGACCTAAAACGCTTTCTTGATAGTTGTGACAGGACCCACAGGCATAACACCAGATACAAACATCTCTATGACATTCCCCGTGTTCGACTAAACCTTTACAAAAATTCAATGTATTTCAAAGGACCTAAAATCTGGAACACCCTACCTGAAAACTCTAGAACTGCAGACACATTCATCACTTTCAAAACTACAGTTAGAAAACATCTTATCTCCCTAATCCACCCCGACAACTAACTATATGATAACCACCTGGTGGTTCACAATTACACTCACTCACCCACTGAGTATAAACCCAGAAATACTAATCTTAATCTTCAAATAATAAATCCTAACTAGTCATAAGTTTGCCTATGATACTCCAATATAGACACTTTGTATTGTGCCAAAACAAAAGCATTCACATTGCTAAACTCACAAATTATGATGTAGTCACTTAGCCTTAATACCATAATCTGTAAGGATTTAATGTTAAGAATTAATCTCAGTCTGCTCGAAATGCCTAGCCATGCTAGGTGTCCTAGTGGCCCCCTCTGTAATTAGTATTTTATAACATGTAAACCACACAATACCCAAAACCTGTAAACCCCACATTGTAACCCTCATAGAGAATAAACTTGAATTGAATTGAATTGAGTGTTAACAACAGGCAACGTTCTGGCTTAGTGATAATGATTCTTTTTTACGACGATATTAAAATACATGCGCAACGTTCTCCTGGTTTGTTTAACGGTGTACATTCTACATGAATGGTGACGAGCATAACAGTGGCACAATCTCAGTTATAAAACCACTAACAATGTTTATGTTATGGTTGCTACACTAATCAACATGACGAAATTATGAAGGCCTAAATGTTAATTTAATTAATTGTAAGTAACCTACTTATTAATGTGTAAAAATGAATGCATTAGTTTGTGTTTTTATCAAGCATAGTAAGGAGAGGATAAACTGAGATCGCAGGAGCTCATGCCAGATAATTCCATCTATTGCTTCTACATACATTTAAACTGACAAATTAGGACATTCAGAAAGCAAAAATAATTAAATTTTCCACTAAGAAACATCAGCTTTGCAGCCAAACAGAAGAGGTATACTCTGGTTATCTCAAAAACTAGTTTCCTAAAATACACAAGCACATTAAGTTTAAAGTCGCAGAAATTATCGCATGAAAAACAGTATTTTTTCAGATTTCTTCCATAAAAAGACAAACTGAGATCTACAGAGGCAAACCTCAATCAAAACTATTGAGTAAGCGTTCAAGGAATAAGTAATCAAGCAAGTAAACAAGCAAGTAAACAAGCAAGTGATTCAATAAACAGATAAGCAATTGTTACACAAGCTTTGGCTACCTAACATTCATTTTTCTTACAATGGTTTTGAGGGCAGACGGGTGTTATAGGAACATAAAATTAACTTAGGCTAACCCAGTGAAGTTAAATACTAGGTTAGGCAAAGTTTGTCAGGAAATATGACAAGTGTTTCCTGACGTGGGTCTTAGTCATACCATTACCCGCCGCTGGAGAGTTTGCTCATCTGACCGAGACCTTCCGCTGGTTTACTGGTCCACCCCTTTAAAAATTATAGTTATGATTATAACCGTTAGGAAGTAAGTTAAATACTGATTTATTTGTGATCAAAGGAAACAGTTGTATCACAGAGACTAATCTGATTAATAAAATTGACACAGTAAAACTCACATAATTTCAAATCAAGTAGAAGCTTCTCTTGAGGAAACAACATCAGAAATAAATGCTAGAATTCAACCAAATAATGAATTCTACAGATAATGCGCAGATTTTTTAAAAATGTAGCTACTCAGCCTGTACTCACCTGTATGTGAGTGCATGTGATCATGGGACAACCAAGTGTTCTCCTGAGTAGTACATGTGATCATGGGACAACCAAGTGTTCTCCTGAGTAGTACATGTGATCATGGGACAACCAAGTGTTCTCCTGAGTAGTACATGTGATCATGGGACAACCAAGTGTTCTCCTGAGTAGTACATGTGATCATAGGACCAGCAAGTGCTGTCCCGAAGATTACATGTGATCATGGAAGACAGTGCTCCAGAGGGTGCTAGAGTTGTCGTAGAAGACAGTGCTCCAGAGGGCGCTAGAGTTGTCCTGGAAGACAGTGCTCCAGAGGGCGCTAGAGCTGTCCTAGAAGACAGTGCTCCAGAGGGCGCTAGAGTTGTCCTGGAAGACAGTGCTCCAGAGGGCGCTAGAGTTGTCCTGGAAGACAGTGCTCCAGAGGGCGCTAGAGTTGTCCTGGAAGACAGTGCACCAAATGGAAATAGCGATACTGCTGGAGATGGAACAAAAAGTGATGATGCCTCAGGGAATAGTTTTAACACATTACCAACAAAAACTGGTGGAAGCACTGATGTCCATACAGGGGCGGTAGGCAGAGGGGAAACAAAAAAATGCACCAGCAGCGAACGCAGCCACAAAAAATCCTAGCAAACAAAATTCCGATCTATGCAAATTATATGCCTCGGGTATCTGCAGGTATGGTATATCTGGTAAAACAGGTGGGACATGCACCTTCGACCATCCCAAAAGATACCGCACCCATATGACAACAGGAGGGTGTAACTCTCCCTTCCCGTAACCTATTCCTGTAACCTATTCAGATGCGACAGACTGAACAGGTAACAGGGGGAGGGGGGAAGGTTGGCTTGTACGTCAGAGTCGCTCATTTGCTCGGAACTACTAAACACCTCAAATGATGTAGTTGAAGTTTTGGCGGTAAAGATTGAAAACTAAAACCTTGTCATTGTGGTTGTATACAAGCCTCCAGATGCAACTTCAAAGCAATTGCAGGAACAGCTTTCGAAAATTGACCACTGTCTGGAAAATCTCCCAACTCCTGCCCCAAACATTTTGTTACTGGAAGATTTCAACTTGAGACACCTAAAATGGAGGAGTGCAGCGAATAATATTTCAGCAGAGATCATCCCAGGAGGCAGCTCAGATGAAAATTCACACACACTCATGAGCTATTAAATCTCTGCACCAAATTCACTTTAAATCAGCAAATATTAGAGCCTACAAGACTAGAAAATACGTTGGGTCTCATCTTCATTAACATCGACAATCTGATATATAATATAACAATATCAAAGACAATACACTCTGATCAAAACATAATGGAGGTACAGACATGTATGCACAGGGCTCCTGACCAGAAAAAAAGTGATCAGTCATGAAGGTATCTTCACAAAATTCAACTTCAATAACAAAAACATACAGTGAGAACAAGTCAACCATGTTCTAAATGAAACAAGCTGGGAAGATATCATAAACAACACGGATACGAATTTTTGCCTAGAAAAAATAAACTCTGTGGTTCTTGAGATCTGCTCAAGGAACATTCCATTAAGAAAAATAAAGAGAAGATGCAAACTAAAAAGAGACGCTCCCTATACAGATGAAGGCGAAGAATCACAGAGCTCCTGAAAGGGGCTAATATATCTAAAATATGAAGGGAGGCACTGGTCAAGGAAATAGCAAATATCGAACTATAGGTGAAGGAATCTTACAGGAGACAAGAATCACAGGAAAAACTAAAATCCATAAAGGATGTTGAAAAAAAAAATCCCAAAATATATCTTCTCTTACACCAAATCTAAGGGAAAAACAACATCCAGTATTGGGCCCCTGCCTAGGCGGGATGGGACATATACAGATGACAGCCAAGAAAGGAGTGAGATAATAAAGTCTCAGTACGACTCAGTGTTCGGTGAGCAGTTACCCAGACTAAGGGTCGACAATCCAAATGAATTCTTTATAAACGAATCCCAAAATTTGATCATCTCAAAAATCTCCGATATTATCCTAACACCACAAGACTATGAAAAGGTATTAAATGACATGCTCATGCACTCTGCCCCAGGCCCAGACTCATGGAACTCCGTGTTCATCAAGAAATTCAAGAAGCCCCTGTCACGTGCCTTCAGCATTCTATGGATAGGGAGCATGGACACAGGGGTCATCCCACACTCTCTAAAAACAACAGATAGCCCCACTCTACAAAGGGGGCAGTAAAGCAATTGCAAAGAACTACAGGCCGATAGCACTAACATCCCATATCATAAAAATCATTGAAAGGGTTGTAAGAAGCAAGATCGCCAACCAAACCTAGATACCTATCAGTTACACAACCCAGGGTAACACAGGTTTAGAGCAGGTCGCTCCTGCCTGTCCCAGCTACTGGACCACTATGACAAGGTCCTAGATGCTGTAGAGGATAAACAAAATGCAGATG